ATGCTTATGCCAATTTTGTTAACTTAATGTAATTTGCCACTGAAATTTACACCAGCTGGCGTTATGCCAGAGTTATCTGTCAATTGGATTTCAGTCTATACAGAGTAATATGCTGTCTATTTTCTTGTTTTTGAAAAAGTAACAACAAAACTGCAACAGGATTCCATTTCATTTGGCTGCAGCCCCTGCTCTTGACCAAGGTGGACAAGACAGGAAGTCAACTCTCTGTATCTGGTGGTGCAGCTTTGAGAAGTGAAATCTCTGACAGCCCACCTTTGTCTTTCTTGTGGAGTTGCACTGTCTGTCAGCATTCCTAAATTTATTTCATTTATTTCATTCCTAAATTTATTTTCTTTTCCAAGTTCAAAACCAGGTCAAAGATTGTAAAGGTAAAGGTAAAGGTTCCCCTTGACAATTTTTGTCCAGTCGTGTCCGACTCTAGGGGGCGGTGCTCATCCCGCTCTTCAAGCCATAGAGCCAGCGTTTGTCCGAAGACAATCTTCTCTGGTCACATGGCCAGTGTGATTTAGACACGGAACACTGTTACCTTCCCACCGAGGTGGTCCCTATTTATCTACTCGCATTTGCATGCTTTCAAACCGCTAGGTTGGCGGGAGCTGGGACAAGCGACGGGTGCTCATTCCGTTGCGTGGATTCGATCTTACGACTGCCGGATCTTCTGACCCTGCAGCACAGGCTTCTGCGGTTTAGCCCACAGCGCCACCACGTCCCTTTAAAGATTGTACAGTATTTTAAACAAGAACAGGAGGTAATAGTGTAAGTATAGCCCCTGCTTCTTCATCTAAGCTTTTCAATCATACCTAATGCTTCAGCAGTATTTTTTTTACCCTCCATCACAAAAATCAATCACACCTAAAGCATCCAGGATTATTTTCTAAGGTACTATACTTCAGGATTTGCAGCTCTGTTGAAGGATTGCTGCTTTTCAAAAAGCTCAGCTTGAGAGAAGTTTAGAGAATACTGAATGGTTAATGAATAGGAGGAAATCTATCTCATTATTTATTACCCCTTTGCACAACCAGGCAAACCATTAAGTACACACTTGTCTGCTATATAATTGGGTTGGGTGATTCTGGGAGTTGTAGTTCATAAGTTATTTTTCGAAGTTCTCCGTATGCATAGGGAGGGAGCTGTCATCTAAAAAAGGAACACTTCTAAGCTCTATATATACACATTCAGAAAGCTGTTGTCCAAAACAGGAGCTTACCAATATAGCTACTTAGAAAGCTGTCAGTCAAAAAAGTAACTTTTCCAAGCTCTGTATCCATGTACCATATACAGTCAGGTGAAAAAGAAAGTACACCCTTTTTGAATTCTATGGTTTTATGTATCAGGACATAATAAAACATCATCTGGTCCTGCAAATTTGGTAGATACAACCTCAGATGAAAACCAGCACATTACATATTTCACCATGCCCTTATGGATTTTTTTAAAAAATAAAGCCAAAATGGAAAACTCATGTGTGAAAAACTAGGTAAACCCTTAGTGCTTCCATAGGAATTAAGAGGCTAAGTAGCAGCCAGGTGCTGCTAACCAAATGCCCTTTCATAAGGCATTTCATTTGATATCAATACAGTGGACCCTTGACTTACAGACGGCTTGACTTACAGACTTTTTGAGTTACAGACTTCTCTGGCCGCAAAATTTAGGTTTGACTTGCAGCCTGAGAACTGACTTACAGACCAGAAAAAAAACAAAGTGGAACAAAAACGGCCTGTTACGGGATTAATCGGTTTTCAATGCACTGTAGGTCAATGGAGACTTGACCTACAGACTTTTTGACTTGAGAACCGCCTTCCAATACAGATTAAGTTCTCAAGACCCCACTGTACTACTTACATAGTACACATGGGGGAAATAATGTGTCCTAACAATTGCATCAATTGGTTTTTGAAATTTAAACTGCTCTGCCGTTTAAATATCTGGCATTAGTTTTATGCAGTAATACACAGTAAACAACAATGTTCCCCTTTTTAAAAAAATGGGTAAAGAAATTATGCACAGATTTTAAAATTATGTCTCCCAAGACTATGAAAAAAGAGAACTCGATGAAGAATTATGAGTGCAATCTACACAGTAACAAAATGTAACCACTTTAACAATTTACTTAAGCAGGCTTTTATAAACAACCCATATCATAATTTTCTTAAGGGGGCCCTACAGGCATTCTTATAGATAGAATCTCAAGAAAAAAATATCTCTTGAGTCACTGCAAAGCTCAAAATGGTACAGTAAAAACATAATCTCTTAACAACCATCCTCAGTTCACTTCGTTTGTGTATCCTACCACTGGTGAGTTCCATAGATTGCTTCAGAGTATCATAGTATTAATTATCCTAAAAGTAACTTTCCAAGTTCTAGAATGGTAGTTTCACATGTGCGGGTAAGTAGATGATTTTGTGGAAGAAATAGCGGCTGAAATCCAGTAGTGACTTACAAAAAAATAGGCCCAGTGAACCAGTGAACTTACATAGGAGTTGGCAAACCAAATCTGCACTGATTTAATCACACTAGTTGTGACTTAGTACTGGATCTCAACCTATGTCTTCTTTAGCCACTTAATCTTAGTTTTAGAACTGCAGAGCTGGAAGGGACCCTATGGATCACTGAACTGAGATCCTCTGACCATAAGAAATGCTGGGGAGATTACTGCAATTGCTCAGTCCTCATGTTTAGTGTGATTCTGTTTTACAGAAAAAGCACAGAATGAAGTTATTGGGCCAAATTTTACATGGAAGAAGATGGAGGCTTTTAAAGTATTGCAGACCTTTCATCAAGCACAACAAGAGGGACTGCTTCTGTCAGAACAGATACCTAACAGCTGTTGGATACATAAACGAAGCTCCCACTCACAGGCCAGTCTTAACTGCTCAGGCATAAGTGACCTAAGGGACAGCCTTACTTGGGTACTTCATATCCTTCCCTTAAGAAGCTACTTACACACTTGCTGGTGTAGATATTGCCCCTCCTGCCATGGTAAGTGTGATCCATTACCTCTACATTTCAAATGCTCATAGGTACATCCCATTGGTGACTTATGTGCACAGATTCTCACTACAGCACTCTCTTTCTCCTAGGATTAGATAAAGACAATGTGATCATTCAGTGGAGTTAGGGTAAAATTTAGAAAAACAAGCACTTGTGACGACAATCCACGTAGTCTCAAAGAGATTCCAGAAGGTGTGTTGAACAACCCAATCTTAGCAGTCTTCATCCCCACCAGGAACAGGTGCTTTGTCAGCCTAATGGCTATGAATTGCCCTTTCTGGACCAAGCCACCCCAAAATTCTTTGCATTGCAACAATAACATATTGTGGTAGGAAAGACCTCCTCCAGATAACTGTAGGTATTGCAACTAAGCTCAGAGAGAAGTTGGAAAAGCTGGTAAATTACAGCTTTCGAAACATTCCAGCACTTAAACATTGTGAGCCCTGACGTCACTACACTATTGATCACATCATGCATCAGAATGACTTACCAAAAAGATTGGCTTTACAATGCAGCTTTCAAATATCACAGGGGGAATTTGTCAGACACTTGCTGTTGATTACCTAACTTTTCTGTGTTTATTCTTGCACATATTAACTCCCATAAACCTCCTTGTGTGGATGGAAAATCAGATCAATAGCCACCAGTCACATAAACGAAGACCTAAAACACTTCTGCCATGCCTCCCCAAGAAGCAGAAGTACATTTCAGGATGAGGCATGAGCATAGCGACTAGCATGTGGAGAATGTACATCATAAAAAAGAAATACGAGATCAGGGATCTAGGCCTCCCCCTGTTTGGAAATCTTTGATACCGGACTAAGTCAATATATGTACTGCCTTGATTTTAAATAATTCTGCCTTAGTACTTCTGCAGAGCTAGTAAATCTTTCTCTGATAGCTTATAACTTCCAGAATCCTAGATGCAGAAGATTCTGGGAGTTGTAGTCCGGTAAAGCAACTTGTCTATGCTTTGACCTTATGGGCCTCTCTTTGTCAAAGAGCCATTAGCAGGCACTGCACGTCCTGTCATATGAATCATGTTTTTCCAGCTTCCTCCTTTTCCCCACCCCACCCCCAACTCCATTAAAAGCAGTTGCTTGCCTCCTGGAATCTGACAGTAGGAAATAAAAAGCAGCATTCTCCCCCAGGGTAACTGGAGGAAGAACAGCAAATCGTGTCCCCATTCACTTAAGACGAAGTGCTTAATATTAAAAGCAAGCCAAACTAGTTTGCCATCTGAGGCAGAAAATGCTACAAATGTTCCCACAAAAAATATAAAATACTAGAAAAGTAAATCACTAACAATTTACTGCCTATTCATGAAACTTTAAATCTACTGGCTGCCTCACTTTCCCTAATGTAATGCCAGCTGTGCCCATTTTTTCTGCCCCAAAGTTCAAGGAACCTTAAAGTTCAGAAGATGCCCCAAACCCCAACCAAACCAACACCATCGCTGCCACCAGCAGCACATAAAATCCCTTTCTGTATGAGCATGCCTTGCACACATAGACTGTATGTGACCTTTTTGGATGACAGGCTGTTTGTTATGTGCTTATATCTCCTGATACAGTAATTAGGAACAGAGCAGGTTAGGAAGAAATAGAAAGAGCCATTCTCTTGGCACAACTTGGAGGGATATGAAGGCTGGGAGTAACAAGGGAGGAGTTCCGATCACACAAAATTGATGTGGACTGTAAGAATGAACCAGAGCCTAAACTTTAAAAGATGGGGGGGGGGAAGCATGGCCCTGGGTTGGCAGAGTAACCCATCCTAAAATAGTGGGGACAGCCCCTTCTCACTTAGACTTTGGGGTGTCAATGGATCAATAGAAGCTTAGTAGAATCTGGACTGCTTGGAAAGAATACCAATATAGAGGCAAAGACAATGGATAGTATTACCTAAATGAGAGATGATACAAAGAAGAGATTTTAACATACGAACAAATGTCATGCCTCCGACTTACAGTTGATCCATGATGTGATAATCAAAAAGTTATCTTGTGCTTTAACTTCTGTGACTTTCACTGGAGGATCTCTAAGCACAGAATATCTGTCTCTTATGATCTGGCTACGATCTCTCCAGCAGTCTTTATAGTCTGTGGGAACGGATACTTCATGCTTTGGAATATTTCAGTTTCTGCCCTAAAAAAATATTATAGCAAAGCAAATGACATCAAAGCACTGGTTCATTAATGGGAAAATACAGAGTACACAAGTTTAAACATTTCTCTCCTTATCACAGCTCATTCTTTTTCCATTCTGTTCCAGTCCATTAAGGCAGGCCCAAGGAGCTGTCTGAAAAGTTATTGAGATCCCACAATATAAACAGAACACAGATCAACTATTTATAGGCAACATTTAAAATTCAGCCAAAGTACATTCCCTTCTTCACTTTCCATCCTTGTCAGCAAGTCTCCTAAATAAATCCTTCTGTTTGAAAAATGGCACAATATTTTAAGTTAATGCATTTCCCTTTCTTTCTTCAGTTGCTCCCTTTGCTGCATTAGTTACTTATACTAAGTAGGTGTATATTTTTCTTGGTTTGGATGTGTTGTGGTATGTGTGTAGAATCAGAAAAGAAGAAAATCCATCCCATCCAAGTAAAATAAACACATGTACAGTGGCGCCTTGCATTACGACGTTAATTCGTTCCAGTGAAATCGCTGTAGGATGAAAACGTGGTAATGCGAAATAAAAAAGCCCATAGAAACGCATTAAAACCCAATTAATGCGTTCCTATGGGCTTGAAACTCACCGTCCAGCGGAGATCCTCCATAGCGTGGTCATTTTTGCTGCCTGTGCAGCAAGGAATCCGTCCCAGAAAAGAGCAGGGAGCAGTTTTTTTTACCCGACGGCCATTTTGAAACCGCGATCAGCTGGCCAAAAATCGTCATTTTGCGAGAATCAGTTCCCAAAGCAGGGAACTGATCATCGCAAAGCGAAATTCCCCCCATTGAAACCATCGTAAAGCGATCGCAAAAAGTTCAGTGCAATGCGATTTCGTTGTTGAACGGGGTGCTCGTTTTGTGAGGCACCACTTTACATGCTAAATCTCTCGTCTTGCGAGGCACCACTGTAAATGCTAAATCTCAAACTTAAAATATTAGTCTAGAAGATGGCTGTTTTTCCAGACTGGTCTCATCATCTGAATCAACATGCAGCAAGGTTCGTGCACCAAACACTTCATCTCCAGCAACACAGATGATCAAGGGCAGCCCTACCATTAAGCAGCACAAAGTAGTTATCACCAGTAGCAGGTTTTGAGTGTTATGAAAGAGCAACAAAGGATTGGTTATTTACTATATATTATGTAGTACTGTATTTTACTGCAGGGGTGGGGGACTGGGGCTCATGGGGTTTTCTTCCCCGTGTGCCAAAACAATGTGTCTGGTTTTCAGTGTCATGCATCCTGATTTGGGTTAGAGGGAGGCACCATTTGCTGCTCTGCCTCAGGTGGCAAAATGTCATGGTTCACTCCTGCATATTCTTACCACTCTTTTGGATAAGAAACTGTGTTGCAGGGCTGGCGAGAGAGAGCTTGTTACCTTGTGCAATTGAAAAAGCATGTCCAAAGTCCACTGCAGTGCCACTGAACATGGTGGTCGATGGTGGCGGGTAGGACTTCTAAACTGCGAAGTTCATTGGAGAATTGAGCTTCCATCATCAGTTACGACTCTGAAAGAGATATTGGGCACATTTCTAGGATTCCTGTCTGCTTTATTGGCACCCGAAAAAATTTAGTGCTCCACAGGCTCCTTATGTTGCTTCTGCAATTCACTTACTACATCTTTGGCACTGATATCTTGCTTTTATCTTGCTATTCAATGATCTCGTGGCAGTTAACAAGACAATGGAATACTAACTCAAACAGTAGCACTGTAAGAATAAGAAAAACAGCAGACTACAGATAAAATGCAACAGCTAAAAGTACTCACATATCTTAGAAGGAAAGGACAAGATATTTTGTATTTGGCAGTAATTATGGCAAATACTGTACAGAATAGCCTAGCATATTGCTTTTCGGAGGAGGTTCCTGTTTCTATATGAAAGCCTCAGTCCAGAACATGTTCAGTTTGAAGATACTAAGCTATGAGAAGGGGGAAATGACCTTCAAGTTGCCCATACACTGTTAACATCTGGATAGCAGACCTGGAAAGCACATGGGCCAAACAAGCACAGCATTTCCTACTATGGTAAAATGCATTTATTGTTTCTATATAAAATCTGGTTTTTATGATTATATTTACATCTAATTTGCATGGCATACACAAATCTGCCTTTTGCTAATATATATCTTCTTTTTTGGAAATATGCAAGGGGTCACCCTCAAGAGGTCACCCTCAAAAAGAGATGGGGCTTTGAAAATACATATAGCGGAATTGTTCCATTATTTGGATGCCATCAGAGAAAAGTGCTTCCCTCAGGTTACTCCCCACCGTACTTCAGAAGAAACAGGTACAAGGAGAAAGGCCAGAGGGTCTCTCATTCCCATGGATAGGTAACTGAAGTGAGTTTGAGGGGAGAGTTTTCTTCATTAAGCAATGTTGGATTAGATAAATCAAGACACATTCTCTAAAACTGTAGAACTGGTTTATAGTCAGTTTATAGTCTTGTTTTACATGGAAATACCAGTTTTATTTCTCAGTTCTGTGATTATTTGTTTCAGTTCATGTCACTTTGTCTGAAGGAGGAGGAAAGCAAATCACCTTAAGTCAATTGCTTTTTCTTCACAGGTTTCATACGACAGAATGCAGAGCGTTGAGAAATTACTGTACTGGATTGTTGTTATGGGCTATCAAGTCAGAACTGATTTCTATTAACCCCGATAGGGATTTCAGGAAAGTGAGATATTTGAGGAGTACTGGATTATAACTCCCCAGATCCCTCAGCCAGCACCACCAGTACCAAAAGAGTAAAATTTCCAAAGCCTAGAATATGAAATGAAATTCCACATTGTAACAAGGCTGGTGTTAGGACATTATATGAAAAGTGATGTATCTGTATCACATAGAGACTTGTGGCTTTGCATTGTGAGAGCACTTTCACAATATGAAATACTTCCTCTCCAAAATTTTCTCGTAAACATTTTACAACAGCGAGTGATACAGCACTGGCATGAATGTTTATATTTATCAAATTTCTTCTTGCCAATTTGGAAGCTAACTATTAAAAGGCACAAGAGTCCTTACCAGGAAATAAATAAAATTTAAAAAATAACACAGGAGAAATTGGTGTACGTATTATTAGGCAATAGGCTTCCTTGTTTAAACTTTTTATTTAACGTACTCCCAGCAAAGGAGGAGCAGCATTGTTCAAAAGGAATTTCATAGTTTTTGTTGGGATGCCTTCTAATCTTATATGCATCCATCTTAATTTGGGCTGAAGATGTGGGAGAACAAGTCAACATGTGTTCTGAGTATTTTCCCAGCTAGGTCAGCAGTATTATCTTGACATGCAGAGGTTGCTTTTGGTGCAGGGAGGGGGAAGGGAAATGTACAGTTGCTTGGGTTCAACATCAGTTTGCACATGACAGCCAGTGGCAGAACAGTTGAACCTTAATGCTTTCTCCCTACATTTTCTTTTTCACTTTAACTCCCTGCACTTAAAGAAGCAGTTTGAAACTAGCATTCGTGTTTCTCACTGCAGTCTTAAACACTCCTCCCTCAGCTACCACCATTGATTCTCATTTTTTTCCCTTCCAGTATGGACCCCACTTTTTTGTAACACGTACCAAGAATAATCCAAAAGGCAACCAAAATTTATGACCAATCTGCAACAAAATGAAAGCATGGAGAGGAAAGCAACAACGGAAAGAGAATAATGTGAATTCATACATTATTCTCTGTTTTATATTGAGGAGAGGAGCTAAGCCAGCATATGGAAGATTTCCTTCCCTGAAACTAATATATATATATATATTTTTACAGATAAAACATGACATTCATGTTTTACAGTATCTCTTACCAATCAGCCACTGTCTTCTAGGAAAGCATGTTCTATTTTTATTTTATTTTATTTTTGGCTGCCATTATTGTTGGGGATTCTTTTGGGTTGCTTTCTGGATTATATGTTTGATGGATTGAGGGTCACGTGCTTTTATGTGTGTTTATGTGTGTAAATTGCACAAAGAAGTGGCCTGCCATTAGATGAGCAGTATAAAAATCCAATAAATACATAAATTACTATGGTTGTTTGCATGACTGGCATTCGAGGAACAAAGTAAGTGAGAATTTGTCCATACCACCATTTTGTAATAGGAGAGTACTTAATAGATGACCAGATAGTTTGTTGAGTTGAGATCTAGCTGCACAGTCTGTGGGTTGGCAGCTCAATTCCCCACAATGCTTCCTGGAGGAACAGAGCCAGCCTATGCCATCTTGAGAAAGCTGCATAATCCTGGAGTGCCCCAATAAGAAGGGAATGGTAAACTACATCTGAGTATTCTATACCTATAAAACCAAAGAAAGGGTCACATAAATTGGAACCAATTGGATAACACGTTATTGTTATTGCTGTATAATATTAAGTAGGGAACATTTTTCAGTGAGGAGAAATACAAACAATCTGTCTACCACTAGCCCAACGTCACACATTCCTGCGCCAGACTCCACAATCCATGTTTCACATAACACAGCTTGCTTAGAGATTAAAGTTCACAGTGAACACAACTTGGGGTTCTGTGAAATGGTTTGAACAAGATGTCTCTCTAGGTTTTCAGTTGGGAGGAAAAGACCTTGAAATAAAGTTTGGGATCCATTAATTTACAGAACTGAACAAGACCACAGTAAAACTCACTAGTGTTCTTGGCTGGTGGCCATAAACTATCACAGAAAGTGTATATTTTGCATTTTGTATCTCTGTCAGGTCTTTCATTTTTATGATTGCTTTTTACTAGCTAGTGCTTCTAAGTCAGCACACTTTGTGCTTTCCTATTTAAATGCACATTGTTCAGTGCAGCATCTTTTTACAAATCGCAGTAATCCTTCTATAGGAGCTCAATGCAAGGGATATTGAAACTCCTGACAAGAAGAAAAGCATAATCCAACAGTTATTAATTGCCTAATTTCTATAAGAGAAAAACTTTTGCTTCATAGACGTATTACTGTTCCATTTTTCAAATTGTTGCTTGGTTGTTTCAGCAAGGTGTGAATCTGAGATGTGTTTGCTCGTTCTCCTTTATCCTGATAGCATTTCAGTGCATTTCCTAAAATGAAAAAGATGGGGAAAGCATATCTTTGAGTAGAAAAACATTCTTTTTGGTGTAGATCTCAAGCAGACAAATTCACAACAGCTGAACAATTGAGCTCTGAGAATTCCAAACTGTGCAATTAAGGTTCTGCTGAAACCTATGCGAAAGCTTTGTAATTTGTTTGGGGGCATTTTATAGCTCAAATCTTGCATTCTGCAGCACCCCCTAAACTGTGGTGAAATTACCTTCTCAGTGAGTGAGTGGGTGAATCTGCAGAGCACTTCAAAACCAAAATGGTCATTTTAATCCCACTTTTACTAAAGTTTTTACAGGGTTTGTGTATGTGTCCACTTGTACAGCTGACTATAAAGAAAAGCTAAAAGAATTTCTCATACTGATTTTATTTTATGAACGATGAAGGCAACTGAAACCATGTTTCCTTATGGCAGGGGTCGGCAACCCCCCGGTCTGTGGTGGGCTTCCTTTAACTGGGCCGCAAACACGGATCTCCGCCCCCGCACACATGCACAGGGGGGCATGTTGCACTTGCGGAGGGGCATGTCATGCTCGGGGGTGGGCATGTTGCACTTGTGGGTGGGCGTGTCACACGCACATGAGTGCAACACAGCCACCCGCAAGCACGACATACCCACCCACTCTCAAAATCTGCCTAGTTTCTTATTTCAGCCTAACTTGGAGCAGGAGCAGCAGCAGCAGCACCTACTTGGTGAGCACGGGGCTTCCTCCCCACCTCATAGGGGCTGGGTCCCGCCTGTCCCCTCGAAGCACCCACGCGTCCAGAAGGGAAGCCCTCTCTCTGCCCGGGAGTCTTCTCCCTCAGGGGTTTGGGACCACCGCGGAGGCGTCTGCTTTTAGGTCTCGCTCCCCCCCCCCACTCTTCACGGGTCACCCGAGGTGGCTGCTCCTGTCGCCTTGTCCTCTCTGCAGCTGAAGTGAAGGAGGTGTCCCGCTCACAACCTGGCCATGCGCTTCTCCTTCCTCCCACCTGGTGCTCCTCCACTCCCTGCCCAGACGTGCCGTGGGAAGGGGTGATGCCAAGAGAACAGCCTCCTTGTGCGCGCTCCCGTTTCCCCCTTTCACAGCTTGCCACGGAGAGCTCGCGCCCGTCCATCCATCCATCCATCTTGACGGTCTGTCACTCGTTCCCTCCCTCTCTCCTTTCCTTTTCCTTTCCTGCTGCTGCTTGTTTGCTGCCACCACCTGGGCCAAAGAGCCGCGGCCAACAAGGAACAAACAAAAAGGAAAGGAATCTTGGTATCTAGTAGACCAGAACAAAGCCTATTTTATATTTGTTTCTTCCATGTAGGCAGAACACAACATATTTCAAAATATATTGTTATTGTCTCCCAGTAGTTGAACATGTGTAGCACCAAAGACTGAAAGGGAGCAGTTTTGCTTCAGTGTGAGTAGAATTCTGTCTTCAGGCCCTGATGTAGTTTAGTTGTATGTAGGACCTGCCATGTACCACAAAGAGCTCTACCATCCAATACTCCACTATTCCTTTCCATTCCCCAGTATATGACTTCTCAATCATCCATCCCCTTCTGCCTGACCAAATGCAGACTGAAAGAGAAAAAAAGGAAATTCAATTTTTAAGCAAGGAACTTCTTACTCCAACACATCCAATTTAAGAGACAGTGGTCTTCTCATCCCTTTCCTACTAGAGGCTGGATGTAATTGTGGCCATTCTGACCATGCATACAACAACTCTTAAACAATGATATTGTATTGTATCCAGACCAATAATTGATTATTTTTCTTGCATTGCTTCTTCCATTCATTTTACCTTTTACCTGTATGATCAGTGGTAACAATCTGTCACAGATTGCTACAAATACCAGCTCCCATCTGCAGCTCTTGGAAACGTCTATTTAAAATTTATAAGGGTCCAACCTTTGGATCTCTGTCCTTCAGGATCAAGAGGAAGAGGAGAGCTTTTTTTCTTATGTCCAAATGGGAATGCCACTAGTTTGATGTTTTCTTGATAAATCAGCAATGCTGATCATGTGAGCCCTGTCTCGGTAATTCACCTCTTGTGTGATAAGAGGCAGAATCAGTAGGAAATCAGTATAGTGTCAGGCCTGTGATTATTCTTGTGGATATCCTACATTTGGAGGGGTGGGAGATGGAACTTTGCTAGTGGCAGTCAAGACTGCTTTTGGGATGAACTGTGGAGCTGTTGAAAAAGAATGCAGAAGAGAAAATGTAGAGGAGACATGTAAACTGTCTGGAAAGCATTTGAGAATTTTTGTAATTAAAATATTCTGCTGTGGTCCCTTGTTGACTATTGACACTTCGGAATATACAATAATACTATGAATTTCTAAAACACTGTAGATTTATTCACATGATATTTTAAAGTTCATGAAATTAATATTCAATGTTTTCCTCCACCACTGTTATTTAATCTCTGACCATCCACTCCTGAAATAAAGAGACGGACACAGGTGTTGGAGTTAACTAGAGTCACACTTTATTGCTTTTAACCTCCAATCACTCTCATCCTGAAGAGGGGCCTGGACGTCATGTGGATCCCTGGGGCA